TTCCATTTGAAAAATCAAAGAAGCCGCTACTTTATAGTAGAAGCGACAACGCCGCTTCGTCTGAAATATTTTAGGCGTGTAGGTCATATTGATTTATGCATACTGTGAAATTTTCAGGTTGATCCGTTGAATAGTTTGCCAGAAACGGCTAATTAACGCTCATCATGAAAAGCCCTGTGTACGAAGTCAATTCGGCAGTTTTTTTGTATGGCATGGTCGGCGTGGTGTAATTTTTTCATCCAATCATTATTTTTATGTGCGAGGTTTTATAAGGTATCAACTAGTAAATTTATTAGACCCGGTACATTAGTTTTTTATTCAGCTGTTCGGGTTGACTTCGTACAGACTATACATTGACACTTTCTTTCTCCATTCAGGTACTCAACATAAGCGTTGCCTACTCTGGCAGACTGGCCTGCGCGTATAAATACGGAAGAAGCTTTACGAGACCCAACAAAGACGACCAAGATTCGCGATTTATTAACTTGTGCGTGGCCATATATGAATGCGAATCGACCGGAGGCAGCGAATGGATCCTAGAAGATGTCATCCACCTGAAGAACATTCACTTACCGCGCATCGATATCAACCGACACCTGGATCTGAGCTACCTCTACGATTCGAAGACCCTGAAGAAGAAACAACGGATAAACGAAGTGCTGCATACTTTCTCAAACGATGACAGACAAACGCTGACAACCGAGCCGCATATTAAGTCGACCCTGTTGGCTGTGCCGAGTTTCACTACGTTACAGTCGCTGAGGAAATCGATCTCGGAGATGGGCAACATCTGCCCACTCACCCAGAAGCACATCGTCCAGCTGGACTGGGTATCCAATGAAGACGGTTCACACATACTCACCGTAGCAGTCGGAAGCAAGATCATGCTGTACACTCCACTCTCCACCGATCTGGCGCAAGCCAACGTCAAAGCCATGAAGGAGAGCTTGAATAACTACCGGCCGATATTGAGGAAGGCAAGTTCGCTGGCCCAACCCATGTTCGTCGATGACTTCAAGTGGATGACGCTGCGGAAGATCGAGTTGCAGACAGCAGATGGTCTGCCCGCTCTACCCATGCATATCAGCTGGGTCAGGGACGGCATCCTCGTCGTAGGCATGGACTCCGAGATGCACGTCTACACGCAGTGGACGCCTCAGAATCCCGCACTGCAGCAGAGCCAGTCTTGCGAAACTGACGGCAAAAATGGCAGGGACGTAGATTTCCGCACGCTCACCCAGGAGAACCAGAAGAAGTTGGCGGCCGTGCCTACTCTCGGCAGGATTAGTTCGGTGAACTTGCAGATACTGGATAGGAAGAGGAACAAGGAACCGAATCTGGATTATATGCCGGATTACGGGTTGTTTGAAGCATCAAGGATCGCGTGTCCGGTGCTGCCGCAGTACCATCCCAAGCAGCTGATGGAGTTGTTAAATTCGGGAAAGATCAGGTAAGTTTGTGGATGGTTTCAATTTGAAAAACTACTTGGGATGTTATTTGAATGAATTCTACTGAAATTTCTATATTTCTCGATCAAATTATTTCTATTACTAGTTGATAATAACTATTCCCCAACCTCTGGAAATGAAATAAAAGAAATTCTCTCTAGCATAAAAAATAAAAACTCTTCAGGATGGGATGATCTCTCACTTAAAATTTTCCTTTGACTGCCAAACACTGCATTAGATATCTTAGCGGAAGCTATTAATAAATATCTCATAAATGGTATTTTTCCAGATTGTCTAAAAACTGCTGAAGTTATCTCATTATTTAAAGGAGTCGATTCTAATATACCCGTGAACTTCAGGCCTACTTCTTTACTGCCGACTCTATCTAAAATCGTGGAAAAGTTAATGAAAAAGAATCCCAAATTTTCTTGACAAAAATCATATTCTTCACTCCAATCAATATGGCTTTGAAGTCTCTAAAAGCACAAATGATGTAATGTTTGCTTTTTTAGAAGAACTTTACCTTCGACTGAATGTTGGTAAGGCTGCAGTGGCAGTATTTTATTACAAACACTTGAAATCTATGGATTTAGAGGAAACATCTTGTTGTGGTTTGAATCATATCTATCAGATCGCGTTCAAGTAGTGAATTTCAAAAGTTCATCTTCAGATAAAATGGGCATTAAATGCGGAGTACCTCAGGGATCTACCCTCGGCCCTTTGCTGTTTTTATTATACAGGGCTATTCAAATAGAGTGTCGGTTAAATTGTGGCAAAGTTATCCATTATTTGTCTCGAAATGGAAGGACTCCAATTCAAACATTTATTGTGCCATTAATTTTTTTGTGCATATAAATTACTTCATTTCAATTTTCATTACAATTATAGTGTTCGTTTCGGATGTTATTATTGCTATCATTTCTTTTTCTGCTCATCAAAAAACATATCATTTATTTTTGTTGTAGATATGTTTCAGATAATCATAAAAGGTTTACTTATTCGAAGTTCATTGTAGAAAATGCTCAGAGCAATGGAAAAAATATGAATAGGTACCTATAAACGAAAAAAACTCTCGAAAAATTCTACGGTACATAGGGAGACGTGAAAGTTGCTATTGTGTTTTTATTCAACTCAGTCAACCAATTTCCAGGGCCGTAATTTAAAAGGGAATAATTCACACAATTATAATCAAATATTACCGAAACATCCCGAAATATAAAATAAAATTTAATTTCTCAGTATGAAGTGAACGTCTAAGAACCAAAAACTACAACAAAAAATACAGGTCCGTATTTGAAAATTCAAAGAGGGGGGTGGCCCAAGTCAGATAACACCCTATATAAAAGATTCATGGTCATATTCTGATAGCCCACATCAAGTGCCAATAGCAAAATGTTGACAGATTTTCAATATGTCTGCGAATAAAGAAGATATACACAAAAAATAATTTGGGATTTTTTTGTTTTTCCTGTATATCACCAGAACCAAAAGAGCTACATTCGATTTTTTCACATCATTGAATAGGTCTCTAAAATACGCAACTTTGCCACAATTCAACCGACACTCTATCTCTTATCGTTTACGAGAACCCCATGTACAGAAACGAATTTGAATAGCCCTGTATATAAATGATCTGGCATATATATTGATTGAAGGCAAATTCACAAGTTTTACTGACGACACGTCTATACTTTGGCATGGAAGAAGCACTGATGCACTAAAAATTAGGGTAGAGCATGATATATGTAAAGTTAAAAATGGTGTGATGCCACTTTATTATCTTTCAATATATCAAAGACTAATATAATGTCCTTTAAATGTAACCTGGACCGTATGATTCTTGAAGAATACATCATTGATCATAAACTAGAGAACAAATTTTTAGGCCTCAACATAGACAACAAATTAAACAAATTAAAATTTGGAACGCATATAAGTATACTATGCAAAAAATTATCTTCAAGTTGTTATGCGATAAGGTCTATCTCTAACTGCTTGGACTATCACTCTGCTACAAAAGCACAATTTGCACTTTTTGAATTCCACTTGTGGTACGGAGTTTGTTTCTGGGGGAGCAGCTGTCAAAACTTAATGAGTCAAGTTTTCACAATTCAAAAAAGAGCAAGTGAAATTCATTACCATGTTTTATCATGTTTTAATTCTTGACCTTTATTTTAATGTTTCAGATTGTTTTAGTTCTTAAGCCTGCTTTGTCAACAAAACCTAAACTTTCATGACAATGAAGCATTTCTGACTCTGACTCTGAAATTGAATTTCAAACAGTAACAGAGTGATCAGATATCTTGGGTGGCTTCAAGTTTAACTTTCAAATCAGTTGCTAACAAAAGTGTATATCCGCTTTTCTAGATGGGTGAAGGCCATCCTCTCTCACCTAGTTAAATGTATCGGAGGCAACCAAGACTCGACAGAAGAGATACAAAGCTGGACAAGAAACCGAACACTATCCGTTAGTTATCCAGCTGGCAGCCCTGAGCATAGAGCCAGCGTCGGTGATATCAATTTAGACTACGACGAAATAAACAACATCCCTCCTCTGCCGCTGTGGACCCTTTTAGCAGCAGACAAAGAGCACTCAGGTACAATTTTTACCAGTTGAAGGAATTGTTTTCTGTAGATGTAAGTGACTAGCTCTCATTATCGAGGCGAGGATGCGGTCCTGTAGCTATTGGTCTATGGATTTTTTCTATAATAATAATAATAATTACATCTGTTCTTCAAGTCATTCACATATTGTAGGATGAGGGATGTTGTCCCTCAGTTTCATTATGTTGGTTTTGAATGACTGACTGTGTTTCACAATGAATTTACAGATTTACTAATATTATATATTTTTCGTGACAACAGAAAATACACTTGGTTACTTTATTGATTAGTGTTACACTCGACACCGAAGGCTGAAGTTTCAACTCAACTGTACTCTTTCAAGTATTATTTTGGTTTCAAAAAACGCGTTTATTTATACTCAAATTAATTACCAATCTTTGGTCTTTTGTTTGTTTTCAGAGAGGAAGTTCTAATTAAGATTATCGCGTTTTATACAGTTAAGAATAGATTATCAAATGTGACTGATATTTGATGCAGGTAATCATATTCAAACAATGAGAACACTGGAAGGTTATTTTGATATCATGTCTAATTTATCTTTAGGCATCGGGTAAAAGTCACGTAAGTTTTAATTGAATTTTGTCACCTATATGAAAATGTTGGTTGATTTTTTTTTTGGAAACACCTTAAATTTGTCTTTCAGAAAAATATACGGTGGATCTACTAACGTTCTCATCACTCAGGTCAGACCAAATTCAAACAGAAGTATTGAATACGACTTCATAATTACTGTATAAAATCTCTGATGAGTTTCAGAAAGTTGCAAAACGGCAATCAAAATAATGTGGCAGTCTTCAGTAACAAGCTACTCTGAACCAGTACCACAGTAGATTAATACAATCACGTGATCCACATAAATTGTCGAGGACCTTCAACCGCTCTTAGGATGAGATTCTCATCCAGAGCGTTCAGTGCTGTAGTATCGAAGGATTCGACGGTCCGAGGGCATCGGATTAGTTATAATAAACAGTTGGAAATCGATATTGTGTTTAGTTTAATTGCTATTGTTATTACTGTTTTTAGTTTTTATAGTTGGTTATTGTTGTTTGTCTTATTGCTACGTGATCAGAAAATGGGAGATGTGAAAAAGACAGTATATGAGCACTCGCCTATGGAAAAAGAACGAAATTACCTCTGCACTTCGTTTCGAGGTCACCGAGAACTTTGTGAATTCATGAATGAAAGTATTCAACCAGATATGAGATTGGTTCTTAGTCACTGAGTTACAGAACTTTCACTTCACAGAAAAAATTCCTCAAGTTCACATAACCTAACAGAACTATTGCACCAAACATTGGATAGACTAATAAAAAAATATTTTGACGTCTCATCAAATTCTGATCAATATAATTTTTTTTAAATGTCACTTTTATATATACCTCAGTTTGGCTAGAATATTTGTTCAGTGATGAATAACAGAATTTACAGTCAATCATCATTGTAATTTTTCTCTATATAAAGCTAGCTTCCCTTCAAAATTGCCACATGCAAATGGTATCTATTTGTTAAAGTTTCAGTCAATGTTACCACCTGTTGCATTGATCCTTCAAACGTGGTGCCTACTGATACTTATCATGACGTTGACGTTGGGAAATCGAAACATTCATCACTGTTTTTGCTTCACTTCTCATAGAATAATAATTATTTTATGAATCTTCAAAAGAAGAATACTTCCACTAGAAAGTAAATATTTCGAAATAAAACTTCGAAATATTCATCTCTCCCAACAACCTATACCGTAGGTCCTGGGAAATGTCTGCCGAAAAACAACTACTTTCCCGGCTATTACCATGCTGGATATTGATTCATATCCGAACAAACATTTATGCAAGATAACTCACAGAGGGTAGTCTCGCAAATGTTACTTGTTCATCCAGCAGCAGTACCGTGCTGAAGTTATTCGAATAGACCACCTACAGACCTGTTTCTAGGTTTTACTTCTCATCAGTGCAGGAAAGAACTGACCCAAACAGCGAAGTGCCTGGGATTTGATTAATTTCAATGTGGCTCAACTGCACGTATGAAACCTTTGTCTAAGAGAAAGATTGTCAACTAGTAACAGCTCCATCTTGTGATCAAAGCCCCAAGCGACTCTCCCAACTTCCTGAGGTAGTTTGAAATATTTATTTTTCAGTAAGTCTGTATCTCCCCTTGATACAATCTTCAGACAAGAATATTTTTGACATTGAATTGTATTTTCAACCCAGGAGTTGATGAAAATAAATGATAAATATAGAATTTCAATTGATGTGGGAATAATGACAAATGAAAGATTTGTTCGACTGCTCATGGAACCGGAGATCTGTGAAAATAGGAATGTATGTCGAAAATGAAAACTATCGAGGAGAGATTCATATGTATAAGAAATATTTATTTTCTTATACGAATGTATCTCTCCTCGATAGTTTTTATTTTCAATTTTTGTTAGAGTTTTGGTACATGGGATGTTTTTTTCCGGCTTGGGGCTTTGTTCACGAGATGGAGTTGTTACTAGTTAACAATCTTCATCTCAAACGAAGGTTTCATATATGTAGCGGATCCTTGTTGAAATCAATTGAGTCCCAGGCACTTTGCTCTCTGGCTTTGCTAGGATCTTTCCTGTATTGGCGACAGGTAATACCTCGAAACCGCGGTCTGTAGCTGATCTATTTGGATACTTTCAGCACGGTCCTACTGCTGGATGAACGAGTAACATCTGTGAGACTAGCGTCTGTGAGGTATCTTGCATAAATATCTGTCAGATATAAT